AATTAATATAATTGCTTGCCGTTGACCATGAATATGATGAATATGAAAGATTACGCGTGTAATGATGTGCGGTTCAAACTTAGCGCGCAGCAAGCTTCTCTTTAAGGCTAAGAAATTCTAGCATTCTACTACAGAATGGACCATGCGCGATGAACGGCTAGGAAATAAGTGGAAGAAATTCCGCAAATCTTGCGTTCTGGCACCTGTGTTCCACTTTTCCTCTCCGGACGCGCTGCGACTGAAATTCCGCAAATCACCATACATACAGGATGTCCCAGAACTAGTGTAAGATATTGAAATGAAAGGTTCCTGACGTAATTTTAAACAACATTTTCCTTAGCGAAAAAGTTGTCCGAAGCGTGGTTGAGGAGTTATTAACAAAAAACCCCGACCAATCAGAGCGCTCGGTTGACGCGATCTCCGAATCGCGAGCGTTGGCTCGGATCTGGACGCCCGGCCTTTAACACGTGAACAACCGCTCCGCTCAATACGAAGCGTTTTAAGAAAATGACGAATAATAAATTACATGAATAACAATGCAAGGAAATTAATAATAATTAATACATTTAATCGTTGTTTAAATGGAATAGATGGGGAAATGATAGATTGTTGATAGACCGGGCGTCCGGATCCGAGCCAACGCTCCCGATTCGGAGATCGCGCTAACCGAGCGCTCTCATTGGTTAGTGTTTTTTGTTAATAACTCCTCAACCACGCTTCGGACAACTTTTTCGCTAAGGAAAATGTTGTTTAAAATCACGTCAGGAGCCTCGCATTTCAATATCTTACACTAGTTTTGGGACACCCTGTATATCTGCTGCCGGGCTGAAAGTTGGCATGGTCACGTGGTATTGGAGCCGTAGTAGTCATTGGCTACAGCATAAATCCGCGAAATTTAAAAACGTAACATTTTCTAAAATACAATGAGTGAAAATATTTTAACGTAGTGTTTGATTTATGAATTCAAATTCGATTTTTAATTCGAATGCAAATTGAATATATTAATATTCAATACGCACGGCGCGCGCGGGCGTGTTCAAAGTACGAAGTATGTGCTGTATGAAAGTGCATGTGCAATACATCACAAATTGTACAAATCAGCATTGCGGCATCACATTATACCACCCGTCTTACCCTGGAAGTGGCGTCAGAGATCTCTAGCAGCGTCACTTTATAGTTAATGCTGATTATAAAGAAAATTGTGATACATTAAAAAATGTTCAACGACTACAGATTAAACTATTTATTTTGGCAATTGTTTTCTCATAATTAGAGTGCGTATTTTTATGCTATTATTTTTATTGCTTTTGTGCTATTGCTTTATGCTTATATTTATACAGAGTGGGGCAATGACTATTACCACCTCAAATATTTTCTAAACTATAAGTTATACAAGAATATTTCTTGTAACAAAATTGCACACTACAAAGGGGGCCGTGCAGTTGTGATAACAGTTTTTCAGATGGTAGAGGTACTTCGGACATTTGGAGGTCACCGCCATTTTTTTAAATGGTTCAGTATATTTTTGCTTCCGTGTCATAATAGAGAATCTTAAAACGAATTCAACGACTTATAACACAAGGACATTGAAGACCATATAAAGCGGAAAAAGGCGATAATACTTATGGTAACCATTTAAAAAAATGGCGGTGACCTCCAAATGTCCGAAGTACCTCCACCAGCTGAAAAACTGTTATCACCACTGCACGGCCCCCTTCGTAGTGTGCAATTTTGTTACAAGAAATATTCTTACAAAACTTATAGTTTAGAAAATATTTGAGGTGGTAATAGTTATTGCCCCATCCCGTATAAAGTAAAACATTTTTAACGTTAATTTAAGAAATGCTGTGTACATTGAGGCTTCTATATATTATTCTTAAAAAATAGTGATGTGTACTATTATTTTGATGCACTGCCAATTTTTTCATATTACATGCATTCTCCATATTTTTTACACATTCAACTTTAAATGAATGCATACAATGTGCATTTGACTTATGGTTACTAAATTAAAATTGATATGTGTAAGCTGTATCCATGAAGAATAGTCCCGCTATCCTCTTTCCGTTGAAACTGTTAATTAATCGATTGTCGTAAACGATTGGTTGAGTTTAACTCGACTATAATTTGTGTTTCAGTCTTTTGTCCCAGTCGAACCTGCGCCTGTCTGCCGCTTTACTGCTGCTTTCCATCTCCAACGTACGGTCGATTTTCAGATACAAATAAGACGTATTTGATTTCTCGATGGGTTTCCACTTTGTTGGAATCAAATCCGTTATCCTTGGCGTTGGGTTTCTTTAATAAAGAGAAACAAAAGAGATCAATAGAATTGCAATTCCTTTATATTATTTCATCTTCCATCCATTTCGATTGTCATTAAGAGGAGCGTACCCAGTTTTTGCAAAGTTGGTCCACATTGTAGTGAAATACTCCATTACTTGATACTTAACAGTACCAGGTTCCGGAGCCGCTAGGTTCATTTGCTTCACCAAGTACGGATAGAACAGGAACCCTAGATCATCTGCATGAGTCGCTCCTACAAAGTTTGTTTAAAAAAGATTTGTGAATTCAAAGTAAAAATGTTTCCTCAAAGCTTACTGAAATCTTTTAAATGTTATCTGTGGAGTTACTTGCTGATTTGATTAGGAATCTCAGAATATTCTAAAATTAACGCAAGTTACAACGCAAAGAAGAATCTTCGATCTTCGATTAAACTTATACTGGATTTTCGACTACTGGTGGGAGAAATTTTAAGTGGTGATTCTAGAAACCAAAATAAGGCAGAAATGTAGAGTGAAAAGTTTGCGTCTGCGGCTACATTTTTTTTAGTTATTACCAATCGAAAATTGCACCTAATAGTAAGAAAACTGGTCTTTAGCCTATCGTAGCTCGCAGAGGCAACGTGCGTTCAAAATTCTTACAATTAGTGCTAATGATGCGTGCACATGTTAGGGACCATTACTAGTCAGAGGACCGTCATAGTACAGTCAGTGGTTCGCAATGTACAACGTGCCTACCCGAACGTAACCGCTGTGAAGTATGTATATAGGCATTTAAACTTTCAGACGCAGATTATACCTGTGAACCAGTAATGAGAGGGTTAGTTTTTAATGGCTTATAATTAAAAAATAGAACCTTGGATGCAATTTTTTTAATCTCGATTTTTGTCTTATTTTGGCTTCCAGAATCACCTCTAAAAATTACGCTACATATATACACTTAGAGAAGTGCAGTGGACTAGCATAAAACATGAGACTGCTGTTTCTGCTTCGTCACGGATGTAAAAAATTCGAAGTTTCATCTTTATATACACATAGGATATAGGAATAAAATGAATACCTGGCAGGGTAACATTGAACGCGAGTTTCATCCACGTATCAATATCGAGCACGAATTTGTAGAAATATGTGGGCTGCGTAGCCTTCTCTGCTTGAATATCTATCACGTCGTAAATGCCTTGAAGAAATAGCGCATCGCTTATGTAATTCGCGTATTCCTGTCTCGTCTCCTCGCAAACCGGCTTGTCGCCAAAGTAAAAGCGTTTCACATCTTTCGGAGTGATCCCATGCTTCTTAACTCGCGCCCGCAGCTCCAGAGGCATCACCACTTCGAAATTCTCGCTGATCGTCGCGAGGTGCTCGGTATCGTTTCGCCGGAATGCTGGAGATCCCCAAATATTTCTAAATGCGTACGTAAATATGGAAATTTCGTACACGAGACATACTATTCTATGATGAAATGAAATAACTTACGAGACATAAACATCGAACCCTCGTTACTATTGAAACCAATTATCAAAGGCACTTGAACGCCCTTTTGCATCATCACCGACGGATGCTGCGGCATGAATGGATTTGGAGATTTGTCGTCTATACTTGGGAGAAATACTCCAAATTCGACATGACTTTGCTGTAAAATTCATCAAAACAAAAGCGATATTTCAATTTTATTTGGAAATATGATTATTAGTAGTATCCGATAAAGCATTTTTATAATCGACTGTATCAACAATGCAAATTTCTATGACATTGCAGTTTCTCATTGACACATCACTCCTCTCTGTTCATCCCATACTAAGTTAAAGTTCACGTATAGTTATTCTCATAAATATTACAATAGTTACGAAATTTTAAAAACAGGATATTTCACCTATGTTGAGCACTTAAATATATTGCTTATTTTGTATCATAGAAAAAATGTCAGGGGGAGAAAATATTCTGTTCGAAGGCGCCAATACGGCGATGGGCCGAATTTCTTTTTCAAGCTAATTTTTGTCGAGATTTCAAGGTCATTGTATTTTTTTAAATGGGACTGCATATTTTCATTATACAACAGCCTTATAGCTTATAAAAAACGAATCCAACGAGATGTAATATGTTAACTTTTACGTGACTTTTGGCAAGGAAATTATGAAATGTTTGTCAGTAACTTCTGTACGCGTTCGGGGACGGTAAGTGATGAAATTTCAATTTCATTGAAACAGTCTTAAGTTGAAACAGTTTAAGTTAAAAAATTCGAACAGAATATTTTCTCCCCCTGACAATTTCTCTGTCATACAAATAAGCGATTTATTTAAGATGGTCAAGTTAGGTGAAATACCCGGTATATTTAGTTACAATGCATTCATCAAATTTATTGTTATTTAATAGATTAATGCACTTAATCTGCTGTACATACGTATGGAAATAAATCCTGCATACTTTATTTCTGGTATATGTTTTGTTATAACCAGGCTAAGCATATTTTTCATCTGCAATAATATTTGGATATTAAATATATCTTACAGTTTTTATTCTCCTTAAGACATTAGTAAAGTGACTCCTTTTAATATTTTGTAAACATAACAGCAGTAGTCAATCATAGAACCACTACGTTAAGAATAATATGCAAATACTGTGATAATGGCTCGAAAAGATAAAAATAACTTGTTCAGTTAATCATTTATCACAGAGAAAAGAGAAAAAATTATCTACAAAATTTGTCAAATATAAATAAAAGTATCGTTGCTGATATAATAAAAAACTACATGAAGATCAGATAGGATCGAATCAATCAAAAAGAAAGTACAAGATTACATAAATCATGCGAATAATCTAGAATCGTACAAAAAGTGAAACAACGTCCCGAATTAATGACACCAAATTTAGCTGAACACTTCTGTGAGGACATTGGAGAAAGCAGTTATTTCAGTACAGTTCGCCAAGTGTTTTACGAAGTTGGTTATCATGGAAGAATAGCCCGAAGAAAACATTCAATAAATAAAATAAATTGGAAGGAACGATTAACGTTTGCTAAGGAATTTGTTTTAAGTTACAGATCAAACATTAAAGAATACAGAAGACATGTTATGCAAAGTGAAATCATTTCATTTACACAGAAGGAGAGATTTTGGATTATTCGTTTAAAGATTAGATGAATTCTTATTTCTTTCAATAAAATTAGTAATGCAAAAGATTTGTAGAAATTAAAAGCTTATCTTTGGTCTCATCGATATTTTTTCTGTATCTGAGAGTTTTTTAATCGTTCCCTCAACACTCCTGTTTTGCAGACTTTGCTTTCTTTCGCATATCTTATCGATATCATCCAATCGCATCTGCATTGTTCATTATACAAGATAAACTTTCTTTAACTAGGTTTGTATTTCTTCTCCATGTTATGTTTCCATTAAAAATGCACGGACTCTCTTGATACATTCTTCAAATTCTTTCAATTGGATATCGGAGTTAATCAGAAAATTGTAATTTCTACTGACTAATTGAAGACAAGTAAAATGGAATTTTGTTGGAAGTGCATCTTCTTTCAAATTTCATGCTTCGACTTACCAATGGTGTGAGAAATTCCCTTTCAGCGGCAACGAGCTTCGTCGCGTCTATCGTCTTCAGGAAGTCGACAACGACCTCGGGTTCAATTGAATGCTCGCCAAGTTTCGCGGCAAGCTGGTACACGCGTTCCTTGGAACCCATGGTTACGTGAGCCCACGGATTAATCGCTACTCCGCTCTGCGCGATTGCCTTGTGGAACAATCCTATAAACACCAACGACGTAGAACAGAATTTTGGATTTCTAGTTGACGAAGCAAATAAAGCACGAGCCTCAATGATACAAACGTAATGGGCGAGACTTTGTGCTCATAGAATACATAAAAAATAATGGGCGTGAAACATGCTCGGATAATCAGAAAGTCGAAATCGACTTGACTATACGTAAACCGTTCAAACGTAACAAACTGAAGTTTCATTTTTCAGAAATTTTTAATTCTTACACTGAATAATACATCTAGTCAATCTAGAATTCTAGAAGTCAATCTCTTCTTTTTAAGAATAGTAATATGCATTTCAATTTTTGTTCTGCACGTCTTTGAACGTAGATTTCTCATTTTTCTATACATGATTTTTGCAATATCATAAATGCTTGAAAACGTACCCTCAGCCAAAGGAGATATTGTTAGATAATGCACGGAGGCTGAACCAGCGCTTTCTCCAAAAATCGTGACGTTGTCAGGATCCCCACCAAAACTGGAGATGTTCTTCTTTATCCATCTCAAGGCCATCACTTGATCCTTCAGGCCCTGATTCCCTGACGCCACTTCGTGATCTACGTTCAGAAAACCTATCGCAAGGCGAAATAGTAAAAACTGTATAATGTGAATGTTATAGCAGTTCGATGTATAAAACGCGTATAGTTCCTTTTATTCAGTTCCTTATTTTTCTTATTAATGACATACAAGTCTGTAAAACCCATTGAAATACAGAAAGAAAACGAAGTGAGAGTTAAATATAAAATATAAAAATAAATTATCATATCTAAAATGTAACAATGAAAAATAATTAAATAACTGAGAGTGGTGTAATACCACAGGTAGGTGAAATAGACGGTCAAGAATAATTCATTTGGAGAAACGGCTGATAATATACTTGGTGTTCGATACAGATTTGGAGGAAATGTAAAGTGGGCAAAATTTACCATCCTATTTATCGTATAATAATTGTACAGAGTGCGTCAATGTTTAACAAAGAATAATTCGTGTTTTCTGAAGATTTGACTAATTTTGAATTGTATCTGTATTGTCAATGTATCTAATTTGTAATAATAATTGAAGTTTAATTTTAATCAAGTGTTCTACCATTTGTAACTCGCTTCCTGATCTTTAGATCCTACATTTCATAAGATAAAGAATATGTTTAACATTAATTTTTAAAGATAAGGTCAAACGAAATCTTTATTTCAACGGTCGGCTGCACAAGAGATTTTTAAAGATCCGGCAGCATTAAGACAAGCAAGCAGTATCGAGTCATCGTGAATTAGGGAAACATCGCTAGAGATAAATATTTTCGGAGAACGACGTGTAGGAAGAAAAGAAAGCGAGAATATTCAATGAATACGCCACATAGCGAAGAATTAGTTTTTTTGGTAAAAAGAAAACGCCGAATATCGGCTTTATCGGTTGCTGACTGTGGCAGAGTATATTCTTCCGATGTTCATCTTTCCTATCAAAGATTCCCGGTACCATTTAATCGACCACGTTCGTAGGATAATTTATGCATTCTTTAATTTTACAAGACAAAGTAGAGAAATACTTTAGATTCATCCATTGCGCTGTTTCCGGCACGTTCTTTAGTAGACGTACTTTCGTTACGATCGTAGATCATAATAGCCAATTATTGACTAAACGCCAGTCGAGATACCACGTCCTTGTATTGGGCCTGAAGTAGATTTTTGCAGCTGATTCGACCTATGCCTTGCAGTGACTGCGAGCTTGTGACGTTCGAATGCATCTGAACAGTTAGTTAGTTTGTTGCTGCAAGTTGTATTTCATATTGATCTTGTGCATGGTCAGTAGGAGTTTCGGCCTTACAACCCGAGTTCTCGCACAAGCGTGTACGCTGTGCGTGAGGTGCAAATAACGTTCCGTACAGATACTTTGGAGCAACAAAACAGCGATAATGCCGCATTACACTTCTCATCGAATTATGATTGAATAGAGAATTAAACAGGGAGGCTATTTTCTGAATAATCTACAGTCCTAACATTCAATACTTTTCTGTTCTGTCGATTTCGTGCAGAATAACTAATCAACCTCTTGGGTTTGTTTCGATTTTTTTTACAAGGATCGTCGATAGGTATTTGGAGTGTCCAGGACCACGGAGCGATTCGACGTTCAACTCAAAGTAAAATTTAAAGTTTATTCTAGTTGTGTATACGGAATTTGGAATCAACCTTGTTGAGGTCGCAATAAATCTAGAAATTGCTTTAGTTCGACATGAATTATAATGTGTCTTTATTTTGTGTAACTGTGTTTTCCCTCGATTATGGACAGATAATCGTCTTGTCTGTTAGACAATCGTCTAACACATTTTGATTTCGAGTGTGCTCAATTTAGATTCGGCGAGAGTAGAGTCATAATCGCCATAAATCAAGGAAATGGAGATATCCTTATGATACGCAAAGAATAGTAAGAATACATATATGTTGAACTTTCCCAATGATCTGTCTGTGAGTTTTATAATATTGAGATCAAAGCGTGGTGAAATATTTGTGCCCGTTTAGGTTTATATTCCTACGTCTATAAAAAGATATTCTTGGTAAGCCGTGTAAAATAAATAAATACAGGAGTTCTTTTAACGAGAGAGCAATAAAGTATTCTCAGAATGTTAGAATCACAAAAAATTTAAAGTTTCTGTAAGTAAGGCCAAAAGATTTTTGAGAAGAAATAATAAAATTAAAATGATCGTTAAAGCTAAGGTCAGTTGAGAATGGAACTCCAAAGTCTCGAAAATTGCACACAGTTTCTAAAGGATTGCTAAGTAGGCAGAAAATGTGAATGATCGTTGAGTTTCAACGTTTTTCGCAGTTTGTACAGATTGATAGTCTGAATAAAGAATAATTCTCTGATAAAACAGTAGCTAGGGAAGACGTGGAAATTTTTCTGGGAAATCGTCATCTAATTAGACGATAAAGGCACTTCGTTGCACGGGAACTTCGTACTCAAATAAAAACCGAGATTTCGCTTTCACTGTGTTCAAATGTGTTCCTTTATTCTTATCGCCTGTGTGACAAATGTGTTCCTTTATTCTTATCGCCTCACGTATCGAAGATAATGCTAAAGTCAACGATATTAATGGCAATATTAAGTGAACAAGAAGACAAATAAAATAAACGATTCAACTCGGTAGCGTCGTTACAAAACATTCAGGAATGGATTAAGCGGTAAACGGATCATATATATATAAGAGTAGACCGAGCGACCAATGTTACACAGTTGACGGCGCATGAGAAAAAGATGACATGCTTCGGCAGGAGTTCCGTCTCTCTTGCACTACCCCCAAATATGTTATTGGAAAATCAATTATTACTAGTATTAAAAACCGGAAATGAATAATTGAAAAATATTTAGTTTATTATATAATTCAGTTGATAAAAAAGATTTAGAATTGATAGATCGAATTTCTTTAACTTTATTCAGGAAAACACTGTTGGATGACTAACTTAGACACTATTATTTCGGATGATCAACCTAGACAATTATTGACCATGATTCGTGCTGAATTTGTCCAAAACATGTAAATCACTCTTACTTTTCGCTAAGCCCAGGGGCACAACTGTGTTAACCCTTCATCACAAACCATAACATAAGGAGTGCAATCCTACTAGTGGATCCTATATTCAATGACGGCCCAAAGTAAAATGAAAATCAAGAGTGACAAAATTACGTTTAGGATTTTAAAATAATCTATCACAAAGAAAAATTGAGCGTTTCAGCTTCTAAATCAGGGAACCTGACTTGTTTTACTGTACTTGGAAAATCAGACTCTAAAATTCGCAATCTTTTGAAATTAATATATAAATAAATGTTAAATGCACTGGTTGAACTTGAACTTGAACTTAAACTCACGATCCGTTATTAAAATCAGATAATTAATAATCAAACATTGATTAGTTATTAAACATTAGGCATTAGACATAAATGATAAACAAGGCCAACTAGAAGATTCTCGAGTCTGACTCTGTTGTTTTATACAAACGCCCTCTTTCATCCTGCGTATCATATGTCCATAGATCTTTGTGACATTTTGAACGTATAATCCAACACAATCTTACCTAAGACGCCTAGCCGATAGTTAATCGTTACTAGAACAATATCCTTCCGTATTAGATAGTCAGGCCCATAGATAGCGTCATTTCCGGATCCGGTGATGAAGCCACCACCATGGATCCACACCATGACAGCGCATTTTTTTAAGGCATCGCTTGTTGGTCTGTATACGTTGAGGTAAAGACAATCATCGCTTCCCTCGATTTCATTGGTCATACTGTTAAAGCTAGCGCATACGTCGCGAAATTTCGAAGCGTCCCTCTCCCCTATCCATGGTTCCGGTGATTCTGGATCCTAAATTCAGAGATTAAGGTTTTTACCATTAAGGATGTATAGGCCATATACTTAAACAATGCTAGCATGTTGAATTTGTTA